ATTTTCACACCCCTCCCATCTGGTATCATTACTGCAGTATATTTGTAGAGAGCCACTCCAGACAGCACTACCCCCCTCTGCTGGGGACTACTTGTAACTGCATCCTCATGTGATCACTATGATTCAATCCAGTGTAATAATGCCGTTGTCGCTGATGACTGATCTTCTCTGTACTCTGTAGGCCGAGACTGGAACTACAGAACTGAAAATCCTGCAGAAGCCTATTAATGGAGTTGTTATGTGAGTATGATTGGTGAAAAATGTAATTTATTTTCAGGCTAATAGATTTTTTTTTTCTTTTTACCCCCCCCTAACCATGGATGGTTCAAACGATTTCTAGTATTAAGAGTTGTACAGATGTAGATGCATCTCCTGCTGTATTTTTCAAACGGTGATGCTGGTTGGTGATGTAAAATTAAGATATCAGAAAGGAAACGTGGAAGGTAGCCAATAAATTGAATTTAAAGGGAAACTCTGGTTTTTAAAAAGCATAATTTATGCAAGCTGAACAAAATACATTACCAGGATCCTGGCACATTTTATTGCAGATGGTCACATGCTCATATAAATTGGGGAGGGGGCCATGTTAAACTTGGTGGCCTTCTGTCTTGGAATGCCATGGTAGGTCTCAGTGATGAGAGAAGTCTTTTACTACCCATCATCTCTTAAGATGTGTCGCACCAAAGATTAACTTCTTCAGGGTCAATTTATTAGTTCAGCAATTTTGAGGTGTTTTAATTGCGTTTTTTCATTTCATGATAGTTTCATCATAAAACATTGAACACATAAAACAAAATTCAGCACAGATGAGGGTGTTTGTTTTTTTTTTTGTTTTTTTATAAAATGGTAAACCATGGTGTGCCTTTTTTGTTTTTCATGAAAGGTTTTTTTTTTTTTTTTGTTTTTTTTGTTTTTTTTTCCCCTCATATTGCTTAACCTCTACATGGAAGGCGTCTACTTCTGCTCTCCTTAGCAGCTTGTTCAATGTATAGAACCTCACAGGTTTTAGCTTGTATGACAACAGCAAGCTTTTGGGAAGCAGCCTTTGGGCAGTTTTGTTGAAGCCTTCAAAGAACTCTTCAGGTCCACATTGAGAGTGCTGGCTGTCACTTTAAACAGGCTGCTAGCAGTGTTTAGCAGGTTTTCAACAAATGTAATGTAGTTCTGAAGACTGCTAGCAGCTTGTTTAAAGTGACAAGGAGCACTCTCATTAAGACCTGTGTTTTAAAGCGGTTGCAAAGGCTTAGTTTTTTTTTTTACCTTCATGCTTTCTATGCATGAAGGTAAAAACCTTCTGTGTGCAGCGGCCTGTTTGCTCCCGCTGCTGTCAGTCACAGCCATTGAGGACAGAGTGGGGGGCAGGGTCGAGATTTGGCTCTCTGCCTTATGGATGCATAGAGCAGCAGCTTAGAGATGAGCACAGAGCGGTGCTCTCAGGGCGACCGGCTTTCCCTGGGGCCACTGCTTGAGGGGGAGGAGCCAGGTGCGCTGGCAGGGAACCGAAAAGAAGAGGATCGGGGCTGCTCTGTGCAGCACCACTGCATGGAGCAGACAAGTATAGACCTGTTTTGTTTTTTTGTTTTAAAAAAAAAAAAAAAAAAAAAAAATGCAGATTTAGTGTCACTTTAACATTTCTAAAACTGGAGCTGGATGGTACTTGACAAAGCTTTGCCTTTAAAAGCTTTGCTGTACACACTACTCTTTTACAAGCTGAAGTCCATATGAACAAAGGCCTAAATGTAGTTGTGCAATGGTTTTTTTAATATTGGTGTAGTTGTTTCATAAATATTTTACTGGTTTCAAATTCCTCAGCACAAAACTGATTTTTATTTCTTTCAAGGGTCATTTGGGTTGAATCACTGTTTTATCCCTACGTCTGTGGTAACACCAGTGATGATATTTCCGTTTTTGTGTCTGCTTGCTCATACAAGGCCTAGCAATGGTCAACATCTTTCTTTGTCCCCAGTAATTTGAACTTCTAAGGATTCAAAGAGGATGGTGTGACCCCATGATCTGACATTGCCTTATGGGGCCTGGATGAGCTTCAACCTGTCCATAACCATGCCAAACTGAAATGGCAATTGTGGCTGAAGCTGTCCTTCCTGTAAATTTTCTGGGTTTTTTTTTTTTTTTTTCTTCCCTCCCTTCTACAAATCTCAATCATTCCTAATGACTGTCAAAAAGCAAGTCTTTATTTCAGGACCTCCACCTATTTGTCATTTTCAGTCTCTGCCACATTGAAGCTTCATATCTGTTCTCCTTTAACAGGCTCCCCCAGCGTTCATGCCCCGAGATGGAAGAGCAGATATCCAGCAAGTCCACAGCTACCATATCTGACAGCAGCTGTGTGTGTGTGCAAGAACAAGGCCTGTCCTTCATTGTAAGAGGAGGAGGGTGGTGAGGCCTGACCGGATCCTTCCCCTCCATCGGAAGGTAAGAGGACCAGTATTTTGAGGGTTAAAGGTTTAATGTGGTGGCGTCATTTATTTTGTGTGCTCCAAGGCAGTGTCCTCTTTCGTTTGAGTGAATGTTATCACAATTCAGACATGCCCTCATGTTTACCTGATGTAAGGATCCAAGGTAAACACATTATTTCAGGTACTTATATAGCGCCGTCAATTTACACTGTGCTTTACATATATATTGTACATTCACATCAGTCCCTAACCCTCAAGGGGTGTACAATCTAAGGTCCCTAACTTACATTCATACATACACATACTAGGGCCAATTTAGACAGGAGCCAATTCACCTACCAGCATGTCTTTGGAGTGTGGGAGGAAACTGGAGTACCCGGAGGAAACAACATGCAAACTCCAGGCAGGTGGTGCCATGGTTGGGATTTGAACCAGCGACCCTAGTACTGCCAGGCGGAAGTGCTAACCATTTAGCCACTGTGCTGCCCCAATACATTGGCTCAAATACAAAGTATCCGTAGTGTGTTATGGCCTTAGGAACAATACTTTTAGTCTTCGGTACCCAATGTGCTCACCAACCTGAAGCTGTGCCGGCGTGCTGACATAATTTAATTCCTCATTTTCTATTTTGTGTACTGCATTATTGTGATTTTCTTTTTTTTCAGTTATAAATATGTAGTCTTGAAGTCTTAAATTTAGTTGGGCTTTGCCAGTGCAGGGAAAGTAAAACATGTTCATTGAAAAAGAATACCCGGTACGTCTGGGTAGGGAGGAGCATATGACTTGCTCTGTGTCTTCTATATGACCGCATTGGTGTTTGATGATTGGCTACTTGCACCGAAGTGATGTCCGCTGGGGTTGGGTGAGTGTTCTCAGCCCTGTGTAAGCGTTACGTTTTCCCTCCCAGCAGACAAGACCGCAGTGGTGGAGAGGAGGCAAGCGAAGTGTTAGCTGTTGAACCTGGATGAGCAAAGCAGTGTTTTGCTATAAGAATGTCTGGCTACCCTTTTTTTTTTTTTTTTTTTTGTTTAGTTTCACCTTGACCGAGATTTTCATTGGCCCTTTAAGTGTACATGTTGATCTGCTCCCTGTTCCTTCCTGTGTTCAGGATGATTGATCTGTATAGGACTAACGTCACCTGCTTGCAAGTGAGCGCCTTTTCTTTGTGACCTTTGCAAATTCCAGAGGCGTTTAAATCGAGCATTACATGTCTTTTCAAATTGCACACCCTGTTTTCAAAGACCAAAACTATACTTTTACAGGGCTTATTGCTGGCAAGGTATTTCTTTTATGTCCAGGCCATGCCTTGCTGACTGTGTTTACCAGCTCTATTGTGGAAACAAGCACCCAATCTGTTGAGACTGGGATTGCAGAATATCCCCCTTGTGTAATGTTTTGGTGTGGTATTTGTGAACAACCAATGGGCAGCACAGTGGCTAAATGGTTAGCACTTCCACCTGGCAGTACTAGGGGTCATTGGTTCGAATCCCAGCCACACCACCACCTGCCTGGAGTTTGCATGTTCTCCCTGTACCTTCGTGGGTTTCCTCCGGGTACTCCTGTTTCCTCCCACACGCCAAAGACATGCTGGTAGGTGAATTGGATTCTGTCCAAATTGGCCCTAGTATGTGTATGTATGAATGTAAGTTAGGGACCTTAGATTGTACACCCCTTGAGGGTTAGGGACTGATGTGAATGTACAATATATATGTAAAGTGCTGCGTAAATTGACGGCACTATAGAAGTACCTGAAATAAATAAAACTTTTGACTTTTTGGGCAATACCATATAAACCTATCTAGAAGACTTTGGGGGAGATTTACTGAAACTAGAGCACTCAGAATCTGGTGCAGCTGTGCATAGTAGCCAAATCAGCTACTAACTTCAGCTTGTTCAGGTAGGCTTTGCCAATTAAAACCTGAAAGCTGATTGGTTTCTATGCAGAGCTGCACCAGATTTTGCACTCTCCAGTTTTAGTAAATAACCCCCTTTGTATAGTCAAGGTTGTTGTGAATGCGGGGTCCGGGGAGACCGGATATAGTGAATGCGGGGTCCGGGGAGACCGGATATAGTGAGTGCGGGGTCCGGGGAGACCGGATATAGTGAATGCGGGGTCCGGGGAGACCGGATATAGTGTGAGTGCGGGGTCCGGGGAGACTGGATAGTGAGTGAGTGCGGGGTCCGGGGAGACTGGATAGTGAGTGCGGGGTGCGGGATATAGTTGCAGGGTCCGGGGAGACCGGATATAGTGAGTGCGGGGTCCGGGGAGACCGGATATAGTGATGCAGGGTCCGGGGGGAGTATAGTGAATGCAGGCTCCTGGGTTGAGTAGTGAATGCAGGCGGGTCCGGGGAGACCGGATATAGTGAGTGCGGGGTCCGGGAGACCGGATATAGTGAGTGCGGGGTCCGGGGAGACCGGATATAGTGCACTCTCCAGTTGCGGGGTCCGGGGAGACCGGATATAGTGAGTGCGGGGTCCGGGGAGACCGGATATAGTGAGTGCGGGGTCCGGGGAGACCGGATATAGTGAGTGCGGGGTCCGGGGAGACCGGATATAGTGAGTGCGGGGTCCGGGGGAGACCGGATATAGTGAGTGCGGGGTCCGGGGAGACCGGATATAGTGAGTGCGGGGTCCGGGGAGACCGGATATAGTGAAGTGCGGGGTCCGGGGAGACCGGATATAGTGAATGCGGGGTCCGGGCAGACCGGATATAGTGAATGCAGGGTCCCGGGCAGACCGGATATAGTGAATGCAGGGTCCGGGCAGACCGGATATAGTGAATGCAGGGTCCGGGCAGACCGGATATAGTGAATGCAGGGTCCGGGCAGACCGGATATAGTGAATGCAGGGTCCGGGGCAGAGACCGGATAGTGAATGCAGGGTCCGGGCAGACCGGATATAGTGAATGCAGGGTCCGGGGCAGACCGGATATAGTGAATGCAGGGTCCGGGGCAGACCGGATATAGTGAATGCAGGGTCCGGGCAGACCGGATATAGTGAATGCAGGGTCCGGGGAGACCGGATATAGTGAATGCAGGGTCCGGGGGAGACCGGATATAGTGAATGCAGGCTCCTGGGTTTTGTAACACTTTAATAAATCCTGATTATTCTTTATCCAATCCAGTTTTGTACAACACTGTTAATTTTATTTTCATATGAACAAAGACTTGGAAAGGATTACCTCTGCTTGTCTCCATGACGGTAAAGGTTCTTTTAGCATTTAATAATGTAGCTGAACAAAATAATAGTGAGAATTGCAAGTAAAACAGGAAAAGGTCAATTATTCTGACTCTTGCACCTGCTTTTGGGCTTAGTCATCTGTCCTGAGGACTGTAAATGGAACTGCCACTGGGTTAATGTAAGTTTCCATTTGTATGGAAGACTCATTGAATTTTGATGGAATGGTAAAAAAGAGAATTATTTAGGAGGATCCTTCTTCCCTGAAACTGAAAGGTCCAAATAGGACAAAATACAACCAGAGGAAACTGGTGGCCTATGTTCTTTTCTCTCTCTTTTGGTTCCATATTCACGTGTTCTATGTCTACTCGCACACAGGTCCAGAGCAGTGTCCCGCGGCCCTGTGAGGTCTCCTCATCATGTGTAATGTGTGCCACCTTCCCGGGGCTCCCTACCCAGTTCCCATACAGTGATCCATTGTCTGAACGTTTGACGCTGATGGATCCTGCCATTCACCCGGTTCTCTCCTTCCCAGCTGGTGAGTTACATTGAACTTCTTTTGTTTCCTCTTTATCCAATGTTTATTTTTTGACAAACAATTATGGGAACCTGTTTTTTTTTTTTTTTTTTTTTTTTTTTTTTTTTTTTCCCCCCCCCCCCCCACAAATTGAGCTTTCTTTCGGTGGTATTTGATCACCTGTGCAGTTTTTTTTTTTGTTTTTTTTTTTGCACTATATGCAAAAAAAGTTTACAATTTTGAGAAAAAAAAACAATATTTTGGACTTTGCTATTAAACATGTCCAGTAAAAAAAAAAAAATTTTTTAAATCAAATTTAGGCCAAAATGAAATGTATTCTGCGACATGTCTTTGCTAAAAAACAAAAAAAAGTTCCAATACGTGTAAATGAATTGATTTAAATGAAAGTTATAGCGTCTACAAATGGCGGTATATATACTGGGATTTTTTTTTTCCCTACTAGTAATGGTGGCAATCAGCGACTTTTAGCGGGACTACGGTGGGCATTCTGACACTGGGGGGGGACTAACTTGGTGTCATTGACATCCCCAGTGACATCAATACAGTGTTCAGTGCTAAAATAAACCAGCAATGACACTGTACTAATGACACTGGGCAGGAAGGGATTAATGTGAGGGGCGATCAAAGGGTTAACTGTGTGTAGGGAGTGTTTTACTATGGGGTAGGGGGTGGTGTGCTTCACTGTAAGCACACTGGTCAGGATGGTTGTGCTGTGCACAGCCATCCTGAGCAGTGTGCCCGAGCTGACAGGGAGGAAGACTGTAAACAAAAGTCTTCCTCCCCGTCGGTGATTGTCGGTAATCACTTGGCGCCGACAGGTAATCACCGGCCTGGACCTGGTGATTGACATCCGCGGGTAGAGCGCGGGCGCCCTGTACCCGGAAAAGCAAAATCATGTGTATATATACAAGATTTTGTGCTCCCATGCCCTCGTGTAGCAGTATGTCTGCTATATTGCTGCAGGTAAGCGGTTAAAGGAGAACTACAGGCAAATATACACCGTTCAGTCACTGTTGTGTACAGTAATGGCCACATATCTTTTGATGTTTTTTGTGATCCTTTTTTTTTTTTTTAAAGAATTTAAAAAATGTTCTGTATAATGCACCCTACGGGGTTATTACTGATTCTTTCCTTTTTAAGGAATGTATACAACCATGGAGGTAGATGCCTTTTTCAATAGGAAATAACTTGAAATTCCCAGTAATTATAATACCCTGTATGCACATAAAGAGTACTAGGATGCAGAATGCTTTAAAATCTCTTTCCCATTTTTAATCTTTTTATGTTCTAAAAAGACATACTGCACTTCTATCCATACATAGAGCCATGCGTCTTATATGCAGCTTGTACTTTATACAACAATAATAACCTAAATAATGGACTTTGCTGTCTTTTTAATGCCATCTCACTATCCATACAAAGGGTAACCAAATTACTTGTGGGATAAATTACATTTGTTGTCCACTAATAACTACTAGATTTGATGCATCTTGCCAGGCAGTAAACTAACATAGTTAGAAGTCACTATCCATATTTGATTGCACGCTGGACCCAGGAATGTAACCAGTGAAAAGAAACACTATTGAGGATCCTTCTCAGAACCATGTGACTCATATCTTGTACGTCTCTTCTAGATGTTCCAGCTGGTCTGCGATTCCATGCTCTCCTCCGTTCCCACAACAAGATGGACAGATTGAAATCCAGCAAAAAACTAAAGCAGCGTTCTTCAAATTCAGTCACGGAGATCCCCCGCACAGACCGCACGCTTGGACTTTTACATACTCATAGTGAGTAGGAGAGCAATAGCAAATAAGTCCAGTTGTCTTCTGCTTTCAGAATAACGTGCGCGCGTGTGTGTGTTCGTGCGTGTGCGCATGTGTGTTCATTCGCTGTGATCCGCACGCTTGTAGTTCATTCACACTGCTTGTTGCTTGGGAACTGTCTGTATGGGCAAGAGCTGTAGGCAGTTTGTGCAAGAGCCTGACATTGCATCCGTGATCCACTGATCGCAGGTGCAGTGCACTGCAGGCTCTTATTAAAAATAAATAAATGCACTTTTTTTTTTTTTTCTTTTATTCTGCAAAAATGTACATTATTTTTTCTTTTGGAAACGTGTTTTGGCCTTTAAAATGTTTGCATTAAAAACAAACAAACAAAACTGTTGTTCTGCTTTAAAGGCACATTGGATCGTGTTGCAGTAACTTTCTGGGTGGTGTTGTATTGTATGCTTTCTGACCCATGTTCTTTTGTTGCAGAACTAAATTTATAAGAAAGAAGAGCGAGAGGCGCCTTTTAAGTGCAGTAAATAACACAATTTAATAATCTACAATTTAAAAAAAACTCACAATAGTGAAGTGAGATAAAAAAAGCCCATCAATTGGGGATAGTCTCCAGGTATGCCACCGTCATCCACATCCTGCAGAAGTCCGTTCGACTGCTATGGGACCACCGTGGGTGGTAGGAGAGTCTCAGAACACTGGAACCGGAAGTGTCTGTGACCATCATGGACCGCAAGAGCTGGGGCGAATGTGACATCACCAAGGGGAGAGGTCGGCACATCAAGGAAAGGAAAGGCTACGCGCTCTGAGCTTGCTGCTCCCTTCTGCAGGCCTTCTGCAGGGGATCATGGGGCCCCTGTGTCCTTGCCCAAACTCAAAAAAGCCTATGAAAAAGGTACCAGGGGCATCTCATGGCGCCCCCTACTGACCCCGGGCCCTCCGGCAGTGCCCGAGTTTCCAAATGGTCAGTCCGCCCCTGCTCTGGTCAGACACTTCGGTTCCAGCAGCGGCATTCTGAGACTCTCCTATCACCCACGGTGGTCCCATGGCAGTAGGACGGACGTCTCCAGGATGTGGATGTTGGCGATATACCTGGAGACTATCCATAATTGTGAGTTTTTTTTTTTATACAGTGGCTTATTAAATTGTGCCATATACTGCACTTAGAAGGCGCCATTCTCTTCTTTCTTATACATTTTATCTCTATACAGTTAACATACTCTGGGATGGCTGCCACCTAAGCGGTTATAGAGTTATGGATATTCATGGACTATCATGGACTTATTGTGTATTTAACAGGATATGAGCCTCTAGTGCGCTGAGTGTGTTTCTACATTTTTTTTGTTGCAGAACTAACTCTTCACAGACCTTTTCCTGAGCTCTCTTCGAAGCAGCACTTGGACTCCCTGCAACGCACCTTAAAGTGTGAGAGATCACAAGTTCTGAAACCTGAGCGCTCGCTCATTGTCCCCATACCCCATCAGAAGAAACGCCAGTTCAGCCCGATAGAAAGAGATGGTAAAGGAGAAACTGCACAAAGCCTATAATCAGTTTTTTTTTATGCAAGTGACACCCCTGTGAATGACTTTTGGGCTAACCTTCTTGTTTCCTTTTCTCCTAGGGCGACATGAGGTGGACCCAGCAGGGCCCAATCTTGCAGCAGATATTTCCTCATCTCTGTCTCACACCTCTCTCTCACGCCAGCTCTCCACACCATCGGATTCATCCTCACTCAGTGCTGCAGCTGCGGTACGTAGATGGTTTGATTTCCCAAACGCAAATGCTAGTTGCCAGCTTGTGTGTACTATGAGGTTACCTGCAGGTTCTGTTCTATATAATGCAATTTATGGCCAGTGGTTTTTACTGTACATCACAGGACACAGAGCAGGTTATTGATGACTATGTGGTGTTATATGCCAGCTATACAGTGCATCCAGAAAGTATTCACAGTGCGTAACTTTTGCCACATTTTGTTGTTACAGCCTTATTCCAAAATGGATTAAATTCATTTTTTTCCTCAACATTCTACAAACAATACCCCATAATCACAATGTAAAAGAAGTTCATTTTGAAATCTGTGCAATTTATTAAAAAAAAAAAATGACAAAAAAACCCATGTACAGAAGTATTAACAGCCTTTGCCATGACACTCAAAATTGAGCTCTGGTGCATCCTACTGATCAAAGATCCATTATCTCCTGCGCTCAAGGACTCAGATCAAACAGGTGTTAGTGACAAACAGCGTGTTGTGTATTCATCCACTGGTGATCAGAGGTTGTGCAGCTCTATCATGAAGCTGGGGAAGCTTAATAAAACTGTTAGAGGAAGATGAAAGAAAGAGCGCACAAACCTTGCGCATTACCTCAATAAATAGTGACTAATTTTATTAATAAGGAAATATACTCACAAAATGATTGTATAACAGGCATAAGTAACCATAATCCAAACAGGGTTACAGGTAAATCAAAAGGGGGGGGGGGGTATGAAGGCTAACGCGTTTCGAAGGGTGCTCCCTTCTTCATCAGAGCTGGGTTTGGCAGATAGAAACTTCAGTATGGCAGAATTCCCATGGCAAGGAGATATTC